CTTGCCCGAGTTTTTTTATCTTCTTGTGAAAAGGTTTTATTGGAAATGTCCCTGTTTGACGTTATTAATGACTGTTTCCAAATCGTTTTAATCGGACATTGATTAGTTAAATCTGGGAACGTTCTCTTTGAATAATTAACGGTTTGTATCGATATCGGTTTTCATAGTACTCGACTACGTGTAGCCTCGGTATATTCAGAAGTCGGGGGCAAATAGCTGATGTTTGAACGGGCAATAAGAAGTTTCCAAGTGAGCGTACACGAACGTCTGGCCCGAATGGAAATAAACTTGCGGCCGGGGTGAAATTACGCGGCCGTGTTTCGCATTGGCTTCCTGCGTCGCGCCGATCAAATTGGTTGCGCCAACAGGGCTTGTCGCGCTCTATCTGAAAGCAAACCGACAGCCCCCTCGTACCCCTCGCGTGCACTCGATCCGAAAGCAAACCGGAGCCCATTACAAATCCTGCTTTTTCACGAGTTTCATTCAGTGAGTGGAAAATTTAATTATTATTCATTTTTATATAATTATTATATGATTTTAAGAGAGAACCATTGATCCCGTCATGAATCTTGGATTAGAATCTTTAAACAAGGGTTTATATTTCAGGAAGTTGAAGAAGTGAAGATTTTGAATCAGTGAAATGTCATCTGGCCTGATGACCGGTCTTTGATTGAAATCTTCTACGAAAGTTTGATGTTCTGCGAACCGTACGGAACGTTTGGATTATTCAAAGGGTGAAACGGGCCCGTAAAGATTATACCGACTCCCTCGGTCCTAATGCGTCCCGTGGGAGATTCGGGCAGGGGACGATCGCGCGCAAAGTTCGAGATAGGTCGAGAGGCCTCGCTTCAGGGCCGTTTTACTCGAGAGCAGCAGTCCTATAGCGATTCCAACCCCGGCTGGATTCGTAAGAAATCGATACGCGGCGAACCTGCCACCTGCTGGCAACCTCCGACCGACCTACCAGGTTCTACCTTCGCCTCTCTCTCTTCACGTCTGATCAGGATCATAATCAGTTTCCTCTTTCGAGACCTCTTCCTTTTGTCTCTTCCGTATCGCCGATTCGGTCCCGGTTCCACCTGCGTTCCGCGTTTACCGCCGTTACCAAGTTTTTACTCTCATAAAGTTGTATGCGAGATTAGATTTGAAATTTCAAGTTAAGAGGTGAAATTTTAATAGGAGCTTCACTTTTGATTTACTGTAAATTATTGAACATTCCTCCTCTGTAATTATCAGTTTTTCTAAAAGTTCATTACTTCAAATATTGGACACAGCTTATTAGATGTTTTAAACTTTTGGCAGAGATTTTATGGTTCATAGAACCTTGAGAATTCCCTCGTATCTGAATTTTTTTTTAAATTATAACTCTGAAATCTAAAAGTATTTCGCCTGGAAGAATTCGAGTTTAAATAGTTAATTAAGGGGATGAGCTCGACCAGCGGGTAACAAAGGAGAAACAGTGGAAAACATTTCGCTAGTCATAGCAATCCGAAGAGCTAAGAGGATTAAGAAGAGTCAGGTCGTCTCCGAGTCAACGAAATCTCACCATCTTTCTCAGTCTGGATCACTGGATTCCGTATGGACAAGAATTTACTGTTTCATCAACTGAACTTCAAGATATTTTTTTATCATACATGGATTTTTTATTATTAACTTGACAGAGGAAAATTGAAGATATAAATATCGGATAGTCTAATTAAAAACTCGGATTAACGCATTTTTTAATTTTTTTAAGACGCTCTTCTTATTATCACGTATTCACGGTGTCGCAGCTCGTATATCTTCATTCCCCTTGCGACGGCGAATTTTTCAGCACGGAGGAAAAGTGTTCGACGACGAAAGCCGGAATGACCCTTCCTCGTTGGCCGAGGCTAAAGAGGAAAAACGAGCTGCCGCGAAATAGGCCGGGGAGGAACGGCGACACCTTTCGACCTGGATCACCTAATAAAATGCCTCGCCGGTAATCCCGATGGAAACTTCAGCACCGTGTAATCGACGGCAACTTAATGAATTACACCTCTTCAACTACCCAAGCCTGTGCCTGACAGATCGATCGTCAGAGAAACAAATTCAACTTCCATCATTACATAATTAATAGAATTGAGTTTCATTTAAAGACTGGATTTTACAATCCAAGCATTGAGATTTATATTTTATGCACATTTAAGTTCCTTACAGATTCATAAAATAAGAAGAGATATTCAACGAGGATTATTGAATGGCGCAATAGAAAGTATTTTTGGATGGAAGGTCTTGAATGGTTAAAGCAGTTGATAGAAAATTCACGAGCTCCAAAGCGAATAAATCGATGTAAATCCTGCATTACAACGGATATTCATTTCCTATTGAAGGAGTCTGTAAGGAGATTTCGCGTTGTTTCTCATCGGAAGGCTTTATTACAAAAATCTACAGTTGCGACGCGCTGTTATAAATTGAAGAGTATAATAAACAACGGAGCCCTTAAGCGGAAATTCTATCTGCCGGACGACAGGATTAAACAGCTTGCAGTGTGCAACCTTTTCAGGAATGTACACCCCGATTAGAACAAAAGAATCTCGGGAACGGGAAAATAGAGGACACCGAAAATGGACAACGAGGGTGTAATTGCACCGCTTCATTACGAACTTCCTTTCCTCTCTCCGGTATTTTAGAGAGGATTGTCCATCTTGCGGAAGCACTCTACCGAGTTTCTTTCTATCCACGGTTTTGTCTCGGATGGTCGGACAATCAGGAACGGGATTCGGATCATCCTTACAATCCCTTCTCGTAGGATGATCGATCAGGTCAGGATATTCTTCTGATCGTTTTCCTTTCTAATCGTGGATCATCCGAAATTGAGATTTAACGTTCATGTCTGGGAATTATTAATAGCTTCGATGTTCAGTATACTAGTTTCATATGAAAGATTGTAATTTCATCAGGCAAACGATATTGCTTCATACTCAAGGCTTCATAGTATTTTATAAACGTAATTAACACTAGATTGCCCAAGGAAGTAATTTTGACTGGTTTTGGGCAAATGTACAAATAATAATGCATAAATTATTTTTTTTACCAAGTGAAGTAAATTTTTTTTATTGTTAACATTTACTAATAACTTGTTATATGACTGTAAATAATATAAAAAATATTAAAAATTAATTTTAGACAAATTTCTTTACACATTATTCTTTCACAATGCAGTCATTTTTACTGCTTTGGGCAATATAGGTACATACTAAGTTTCAGTCTTTCTAGTGTTAATGAGAGTTATAGTTTCATATGAAAGACTGTAACACGATATAACAAAAAATGGTAGGTTCACTCTGTTAAAAAGTATATTAATGATTCTTGACAAAATTTTTTTCTATCACAAATACTTCAGGAGTAATCAATGAATTATTTCCATCGTCTAGCATAAATATAAATATTGTAAATAGACTGAGATTGTTGTAAAAGAATCTAGTTTGGAGGGAAATAATTGGAACCTGAAAATATGAGAAGGAAAATTTATGATCGATTTTATCTAGACGCTAATGCTGGAATTATTTTAACGGGATCTCAGTTTGATAGGGCTAACAGGATTCCTTGGGGAGTTTCCCCGAGGGTGAAGAAGGCTCGTGGCACGGAATTAAGACGACTATATTGCGGTGAAACGGAGTCATACCTGCTACCGTCGAGGGTGAATTGTGGTTTGCTTAGGAGCACAGCTTGTCCAGTTTTCCCTCTTTCTTTTCTTTTCAGTTCTTTTTCGTATCACATTATGGCATCTTAAGGGTGGACACAAGCTTTCGTGGCTAATTAATTTTCTTTTTAAACTTTCCCGAGGAATTTGACAATTTTGGGTGGGAATATCTTCTCGAAAATTTTGTAGAGTGATTGATTTGAGATTTATTAAAATAAAGGAAGGATTTTGATGTTCCTTGTTTGTGAAACTAGTGTGTCAATCATGGAGACAGATTTTATTTTTGTATAAGCAATTAAAAAATTGTAAGGATAGGATTTAGAATCAATTCTCATATAAATCCTCTTTTCTCGTGAATTGTCAAAGCTTAAGAAACTTGTTTTCCTTGTCTGCTTCCAGATCTTCTGGTGGTTCAACTGGGACAGCCTGATTAAGAAGACAGAAGCCATTGGAAGTACAATTGAACTGGGAAGGACAACGTCTAAGGGTGAAAACCAGAAAGACGTGCAATTCAACGGGGAATCGAGAAAGATTTGATCCGAAAGTAGGAGCAATTTGTATTAAAAAAGAAGTCGTGAAGTCATGAGTTGTAGAGTGTCATCGAGGCGTCGGAGTGGCCAGTGGTCGTCCGCGGGGAAGATGAAATTGGTAGCACGGGAAGGGAATCGAATGGGCATCGCTGGCGTGTATCGCGAAGCGTGCGCCAACACTCGAGAGAGAGCCGCGTCCGTGTCCACCACCACCCGCGCTGCCACCACCACGAGCGTTGTTCACCACCACCGACGAGGAGGACTCGGCGCACCTCGACTTGGTTCCACCTCTACCGCCTCGATCAGTCGACCCCGTGCAACGCGGCTCGCCGGCCGCCGCGCGAAGATTCACCCACTGCGCGATACCCTCTTTAGTCACCTTCGCATACGCGCGTCCTTGACTCTCAGGTTTACCCTAGGCGAGCGTCGGACCATTTTAATCGTAGAACCGTGATTTCTTTCAGCGACGTAAACGGAACGAAAAGTGACCGTCAACGCGCGTGCGTGTAGATCCAGATCGCCGGGGGTGCGTGCCCGTCGAAGGTCACGGTGAATTAGACAAACGGTAAAAGAGAAGAGACAAGGGAGACGGCGTGGTTAGAGAGTGGAGGCGAACGGAAATAGGATTCCGCGCAAAAGCCGGTAGCGGCCGCCGCCGGTCCCCCACTCGCTAACTTGTTGAGTCTCTCTCGGCAGGTGTGTGTGCGTTCGAAATACCCGGGACCACGATGACGAACTACCGCTGCTGTCTGCTGCTCCTGCTGCTCGCCGGCACCATACGAGCGAACGTGTCCTCGAACAGGAACAACGTGCACAACGATCCCCTGGTGGTCGACACTACCAGCGGACGGGTCCGAGGATTCGCTCGCACCGTTCTCGACAAAGAGGTTCACATATTCTATGGGATACCGTTCGCAAAACCGCCCATAGGACCATTGAGATTCAGGAAACCGTTGCCGATAGAACCCTGGCACGGTACGCTGAACGCCACCGTATTACCTAACAGCTGCTACCAGGAGAGGTACGAGTATTTCCCCGGATTCCCCGGGGAGGAGATGTGGAACCCTAACACGAACATCTCGGAGGACTGTTTGTACTTGAACATATGGGTACCTCAGAAGATCAGGATGAGGCACAAGGGCTCGGATCCTCCGAACAACGGCGATAAGAATGGTTTACCTTTACTGGTATGGATCTACGGGGGTGGCTTCATGAGCGGCACTGCCACCCTTGACGTCTACGACGCGGACATCATGGCAGCCACCAGCAACGTCATCATCGCGTCGATGCAATACAGGGTAGGCGCTTTCGGGTTTCTTTACCTGAACAAACATTTCACCAACAGCGAGGAAGCGCCGGGGAACATGGGACTCTGGGATCAAGCTCTGGCACTCAGGTGGCTCAGGGACAACGCCGTCGCTTTCGGCGGCGACCCTGAACTCATCACGATCTTCGGAGAGTCTGCCGGTGGCAGCTCCGTCTCCTTGCATCTGATCTCTCCCGTTACTCGAGGTCTCGTACGTCGCGGTATTCTTCAAAGCGGAACTCTGAACGCCCCATGGAGCTACATGACCGGTGAGAAGGCGAACGAAGTCGCCAGGATACTCGTAGACGACTGCGGATGCAATTCGACGATGTTACAAGAGAATCCCGCGAGGGTCATGGCTTGCATGAGGTCCGTCGACGCGAAGACCATCTCCGTGCAGCAATGGAACAGTTATTGGGGCATTCTGGGATTCCCCTCCGCGCCCACCATCGACGGTATCTTTTTACCTAAGCATCCTCTGGACCTCCTCAGGGAAGCCGACTTCAAGGACACAGAAATACTTATCGGGAATAATGAAAACGAAGGTAAGAATTTCAGTTTTCACTAGTTCATCTGGTTCGACGTTTTCCTTTATGGAAATCGTGAAACCCGTCGGTGTTTTCTCGTTACGTAAACCAGAATTGAGCCGGACGAACGAGCCGGGCTTTGCGTCGGCTGGAAACAATGGTTCCGGTGGTATTGTCGTTGGGTAATACGGATAGCTATTCATTATTGGCTCGTGATCCGCCTTTCTCGTTAATGAAAAGCTCCGTGCGGCTCGCGACGTGACGCGACGCGACCATCGGGCCGAGGGGGGAAATTATTTCGCGTTCGGCTTTTCTTAACCGCGACCCACTCTAGCTAATTAACCTTTTGCCGATCCGAATGCCTCGGGGAGAAACGACTCGATGGCCCGACAAAGGTCCACGGTCATTCAAAAGTTTACACGCTCTTTAACCCC